CAGACGTTAAAATCACGTAGATTTTAATCTCAAATAGAGTACAAAACCACAAAGGTTTTACTCTCCAGAAACAGTGAGTATAACACAAATACAGAAAATATATTAAATTTCTTAAGCTTGTTAGTAATCTGTATTTATAAAACGGTTCTGGAGAAAATAAAATAACATAAACAGTAATGTAAATGAAATAAAAAAAAAACCAATTCGAGCCCACTGAATTCACAGTGTTTCCTTAAGGAATTTAATCCCCTCCTAGTACCCAAGGTTATGGATTATTTCCTCCTAGGATAGAACGAATTACACACTGGTGTAGTGGTACTTCAAACCCCAGTGTTTCAGCGAACACAAAGTTCGGTAGCAAATCACACTTACTGTTGCTGTCTTTGAAGTTAAAATATGCAGAAGAAAGGAGAAGAACTCAGAAAATTCGTATGAAAAATCTGAGAGAACGGACTTGTATTTATAGCCAATTGGGCTGAAATATAAAGAGGTGCAACTCTTCAGAATGGCTGTTTTTGCAAAACGGCCAAAGAATAAATGCCATAACATAAATGGCTATTTACTCAACAATAAAGAGGGAAAATTGAAGGGTAGTTAATTTTCTGTTACAAAAACAGAAAACTGAAAATTGGATAACTGAATTGGATTTAATATTAATATTTATTTTAATATTAATATTTTATTATTAAACCAAATATTTATTAACATTTCTGTCAATATTTACTATTAACAAATAAATTTGATCCAAAAATTAATTAATCGATCATTTGACCAAATCCGAAGCCGAGCGACGACGACGGCGCGAGGCTTGCCTTCTTTTCAACTCTTTATGAGCTAGAAGAAGAGCAATTGCTTATATACCTATCAAAAACATTTTCCTCTTCCCATATGGGACAATCAAGGGGGGAAACTCAAATATTTCATTTTTTTCTCCATTTCCCATTCACTCTATTTTAAGCATTAATAGCTTAAAAACCCAACAAGTACGTTAGAAGGGAAGAAACATGAGAGTAATTGAAAAGCTTAAAAAGAAGCTCGACTACTCTTTGTTCAATTGTTCTTAAAGGATTGCGCTCTATAAAAGATATGTTAATCATTATTAATATTAGGTTGAGTAATTTTTTTCTTTTTTTCAGAAGAGACTGGTATTAGTTAAATGGAATGAAATTCTTTCTTTTTGTTCACTAGTACGCGATAATCATATTGACCTTAAGGTGGTCTCGTGGATTGGCTTAGTTGAAGGAGTACCCTTTCGTTCCATGTTAATTTTGAGGATGCACTTGTGAGCTTCAATTACCATAGCTAATTGAGCGTCATTTATGGAGCAGCATATCTTTTTTATATAATTTCTTTACTTAATTTACCACTTGTATACTATGGTCTATGGATTTTTTCAAAGACCTATAAAACGTCAAAAAAGGGGTGCTGCCAAAAAATTACCTGAAATTAATTGTATATTAGTTATGAACAATAAAAGAAGAAGAAGAATATTGCAGAGCAAAGTAGAGAGAGGGAATTCTTATTGATATGGGTGAATTACAATGGAATAGAACCATCTATTTATAGGGAAAGAGTGACTTAGCCACCAAGTAAAAATCCCTAGAATCTCTCTAAATATAGACATTCACCATAAATAAAATTCTATTTATAACACTCCCCCTTGAATGTCTATTCAACCAGATAATGTGTCTCGTTAAAACCTTAACTAAAATAAAACCCAGTAGGAAAAAGAGTACACATATCTAACAATACGCCTTTTGGTTGCCTCGTTAAAAACCTTGCAAGGAAAACCCAGTGGGACAAAACCTTATAAGGGAAAAAGAGTACAACGCGTATTAACTACCCTGATGAGAGCATCAATTCACATCCTTAATCATTTGCATTCCAATCTTGTGCACCATCTTCAAAAGATCTTTGGTAGAGATTTGATGAACAAATCAGCCATATTAACTTGAATGAATATATTGCACCTTGAAATCATTATTCTTGATAGAGATGAATTGTCTTCATATGATCTTGTTGGAATCGTCAGTTCAATATCTTCACATAGAGGTGAAAACTCTTGCAATCATATTATCATGCATATAGTTATAGCAAGATACATTTGTGCACAAATTGCACTGAGGATGTAGTATTTCATGACCATGAATTCTATATGCTTTAAGCAATTTAAATCCTTCAAGGATTTTTAAGTCATATAAGCCATATAATAGACTTTAGATGCATATCAAGTTTTCATGTCATGCTAGACATATAAGATATCGAAAACTGATTGCACATACCATTGACTTTATACTTTCAAGTGTTTGAACTACATGTTTAAAACTACATGTCTTTCATATGAAACCAATTCTATTCGAATTGTTTCTTCAGACTTAAGATCCTCATATATATTTAGTGCTATAATCAATGTCGTCGACAAAAATTTTATATCGGTTCCAACCTCCTTATTTTTCATAAATACATAACATAGAGATCTCTTCATTTATATTTTCAGGTACCTAAATCTCTCCTGAGATTTTATGAAGTGTTATGTCATGTGATCTTCTAGATCACTTGCCTCCTTTATTATGATCATTTAGATCATTTGCTCATCTTTTTTATCAAGTAGTTTATTTGAAACCGATTTGTCTATACGCTTCAAGCGTACCATAGACTTTGTCCTTCTAGGACTTAATAGGAGCATTTGCAATGAGAATATAGTTACTTTCTTTGGGCCAGCAAATGCGTCTGACATTCTTTGCAATATATTGCAAACGAATTATCCTTTTATGAACTTCAAGTTCATATTATCTTATTGAGGATCTAGATGTACAAATGATAATTCATTCCACGTAACGTTTTCTCAACTGTTTATCATGTCTCCCCCTCATGTTAGAAAAACTAACTTTCTTCCTCAATTTTGGAAATTCACCTTTGTCTGTTATGGTGTTAATCAAAATATACACCGCACATCAATAATAATAAGATGAAATTATTTGGTTCCTGACCCTAAACCACTTGTGAGGGGAGAAAATAATATACTTTCGTATATAACGTATATCAAACTGATATAGATAACTTTGTTCTCATCAGCAACAATTTAGCTATTAAGTGCACTCAATAAATTATTTTGCTAAACCAACTGTGATGTAAACCAACTTATCAAGATAAACTTTCTTGAATAGAAAATCTGGAAATTATGCTCTAAATTAAATTATTGAGCAAGTCACCTCGCAAACACCATGTTGCGGGTTAATAATAATCTCACATGTAACCATCTCATAGATGCATCTTATGTGGTATACATGGCAGGTGAATGGGCCCATATTCACCTTTGATATTTCCAGCATTCATGGGATTCAATCCCAATTTTAATTGGTCTATTAATTAATGAGAACAAGCAATGTAAGAGAATTCGTAAAGAACTTTCTAGTTCTTTAATATTTACCCATGTGAATTCTTTTTTAACATCATACTTGAATTAACATGGCTAAACCAATTATGCCAACTGGATAAATTATCAATATTGATAAACTTCAGGTTTACACCATGATGTGTGAAATTATGAATAAACTCCAAGTTTATTATGATATGAGTTTTTATATCAATAAATATCCACTTCATTGTGGTATTCTTTTGTTTATGTAGTACAAATTGGAGAATAAAGCGGGTAGCTTTTCACATACATATTACCCCGCTACAAGTTGTAGTAATAGAAGATATTAAATCTTTCCTTTATTTATAGTCTCAATATAATCAACCGCTTTCGTGTATACTTTGGAAACTGAATAAGTTTCTTTGAGACTTACTACAACACGATACCTTATTGGTAATTAATTGTGTTTCTCCAAAATAGTATAATTGGCTCTTGCAGAGTTCTCAATTAATTTTGTAGTACCACATATTCATCAATACTTATATGGTGAATATCTCTTTTAAAGAGAAAGTTATACCATTATGGTTATGGTCAGAATTATATGCAAGATCTGTTTCTTGCATTACCGTTGTCTTTTAACAATCACAATGCCAAAATATTTTGGCGTACAATAAGTACGTGACCAATGACCATTCATGCCATAATAATGATATTATTTTCTTATATCATCTCAAACCTCCTTTTAGAGGTGAGTGCGGTATATTCACTACCATTAGCACGTTCATATTCTTTGAAGAATGAATATGTATTCATAAATCAGATGTTGTCACATTCACATCATGAATGGACCATAATCATCTATATGTGCTTTACAAAATCTCATGTCAAATCGATGACAAATATTTTTCGCAGAGTGAAAGATTATTTTGAGAATCTTTATTGTTCTCATTACCACAAATGATCCATATCCATTGATACATTCATAGTAATAATTTTGTCTTCTTTCAGACTTATCACATACTGCTATCACATTCTCTTAAGGGAATGAGAATGGAGCAAATTCAATGGGACGAGTTTTCAATTCTTTGCCCACAATCATACATGAATTTGATCATGGCGAGGCATAGAAATTTTACCACTTCAGGTGGTTATAATTTCTTACAAACTCCATTAGAGTTATAATCAAACTTTGTTGTCTTTGCTTGTATTTAAAATCAAAGTATAGAATAAAAGAGAAAAATACGGTAAAATACTTACCTTAAATCCAGAATTTAATCATGAAGGAAGTTCATGGAATAATTGACAATCATTATGCTCAATCCCAAAGCTTCTACTCAATTGGTTAGAGTCTCGTGCTGATAACGTGTTATGAACAATAAAAGAAGAAGAAGAGTATTGAAGAGCAAAGTAGAGAGAGAGAATTATTATTGATATGGGGCGAATTACAATGGAATAGAACCCTCTATTTATAGGGAAAGAGTGACTTAGTCACCAAGTAAAAATCACTAGAATCTCTCTAAATATAGACATTCACCATAAATAAAATTCTATTTATAACAATATTTTCATTATTTCCAATATATTCATTTTCTTTTTCAAAAGAAAAAAAAAAAGTGCATTCACTATTCAGTCCAAGCTGTACTTAAACAAACATTCTTTCATCTTCCACCAACAACCACAGCTAAAGTTTCAGAGAAAAAACTCAACAGCAGCAATGAAATCCGCAGCAATTTCCAGCACAGACTTCAGAAGTTTCTCGAATCTTCCATCAAGCCAAACTCCAAGCTCAGCTCACCGGCGCGTAGCCGAGCGGCTCCTTTTACTGCCGAAGCCAGGCGCTTCACTCCCAAAAAAAGTAGGTAGCATTAGTAAAGCCAGAAGTAAAACATCTGTTTGCTACACAATCTCCGCTAGTTATGGAGATAAGGAATCAGATTCAGTTGGTTCTAATGAGTATACTTCTCCAGCGAAAGCACTCCGGAAACTTCTAGAATCGCCGGGAATTCATCAAGGCCCTGCTTGTTTTGATGCTCTCAGTGCTAAGCTTGTCGAGAGAGCCGGCTTTGATGTCTGCTTTACAACTGGTATGTCTTTTTAAAAAAAATATTTTTTACTATGTTTAAATCATTTTTATGTTTTTACTTATTTGGTTGTCTCGATTTAATTTCTCGTTTTGAGGAGTATCACTTAATGGAATGCGCTCCAGTCTCAAACTATTTGGCATCAGCTATAAAAATCTCTAGTTAATTCAGAGGAGTCATGGTAATTTGACTATTTTTAAGCTAGCAGTTGCCGTATTGCAATGGTTCAACTTTATTCGGGCTTGGGAGTAGCTATACTTGTGGAGCTCTCATCAGGGGAATTCTGATGAGAAAACTTTGATAAAAAAGCAAAAGAATGAGCATCATTGATTGTTGAGGGAGTTCTTCAATTTAGGATTTCTGATTATTTTGACATGCATTAGTATTACTTTGATTATTGGAAATGATGTTGAGAGTTTCATTTGCTTGGGAAATTCTCGACACCAGTGTGATCAGCTGAATTTAGAGTGCTGGGTATATTAAGGTGTAAAAGACAATTTGGATTTTCACCATCTCTGAACTTGACAAAAGCAGGATAGAGTTGCAGGTTTGTTTTGTGTGAAGCTGAAGATGACAAAGGAGGAGATGTCATGTTGTGTCAGATGGGATACTTGTGATCTCGTTTGCATGGAAATCCTAAAAGTAATGGATTTGATGTTATCAGCCTATTGTATGTGCTGGAAATGTTGATGTTAAAATGACTCTCTTGTTCGGACCACTATGAAAATAGTATTATGGATATTGAAGACAATAGATAGAGCCATTAACCTCTTGGCTGCAGAGTGATTTTCTGATATCTTTCAGGAGTTGATATGAATTTCTCATGATAGTGACGAGCAAATACCAAGGGAAAGTCAGAACTTTCCTTCAGAATTCGTCCTCCCTATTGAGTTTCATGAAAAATTTTGTGGCATATTTTCTTTATCTATATGGGAACTTATTTTTAATTTGTTTATTTTGATGGAAGTTTCTCCAGTAAGGAAGAGCTCAAACTACTTGTCAATGCTCAAGCAACTTATGGCTAGTTCGAAAAAAATACCAAAAATGCTCAAGCAACTCATATAAAAAATCTTAAAATGGTAATGCAGGGTGTGAAAAGAGTAGCTTCCTTGCTAAACTGTCCATTCTTTCTTCTCTGTCTAAAAACTACCTCTCTCATGTGAAAATAAAATGCCCAAGCCCATATAACTGGATCTTGTCGTGTAGCAAAAGTTTCTTTCTTTTAATTAGCTAGTAAAATATGAAGTCACGAGATAAGCCTAGAGTGAGACTTTTTTGCTCTTAAGTTAATTGTGGAATTACAAGAAATTTTAAGCATCTTTTGTAGTTCTTGCTAGGTTTATACATGCTACCTGGTTAATGGCTTCATAGTGTTGCTAGTTTGTCCATCCAATACCTCGGAATCTCAGCTCCAACCATTCTGCTGTTGGGGCAGCTCGTAGAGGCGTTGAGGTGTGTCTAGTCTCTACAGACTGTAGGTACTGGAAATTAAGTAAAGTGCGGTATTAGAAGATTCACTGCATTAGTGTTTGAATCTTCTTCTTTAACTAAGCATGGATTTATTGTGAGTTGGCCAAATACTTATAATATGTTCTTTCTTAGCTAATATCTGTAGAACATCTGTCAGGTTTTGGAATATCTGCCACACGATTAGGAGTGCCAGATACAGGACTAATTTCTTATGGAGAGATGGTGGCTCAAGGTCAAGAGATCACACAAGCAGTGTCCATACCAGTAATTGGAGATGGAGATAATGGATATGGTAACGCCATGAATGTCAAGAGAACTGTGAAAGGATATATTAGAGCAGGTTTTGGAGGAATAATCCTCGAAGATCAGGTTTGTGTCGGTCTAGATTTTTTACCCTCTACTTTTGCCTGAGTATTCTTGTTTCATTTCACAACTCTTTATGATTTTTTCTATTTCCTCCTCTTGAAATGGTGTTGGCAGAAGTTCATTTTCCTCCTCAATTAATCTGTAAATGCTGTCTCTTTTGAAGGCTGGACTCCATTTTTCCTCTTCTCTACGAAAGTTCTTGTAGAAATTGACAAGGTCCTTGATTTCCACTGGGTTGTCAATAGAAGTGCCATTTAAATTTCAGCTTGTCTATTTGATTGTATCTCTTATGTGCATTTTCCATTTTGTGAGAGACTTCGTGTTCATGTCTCCCTCCCTTTTCCATAAAATCTGAACTTCTGACTCCAACTCTCCAAGAAATTTCTACTGCTTAGGCAATTTTTTGGAATTCCATGAGAGAGAGATCGACTCAGCATGCTTAGCTTCACGTAATGGTCTTGTTTCTTTACACTTTGATTTGAGAGGGGGTAGTAGAAAGGAACCTGAAATTTCAGAATTTTCCTTTCTCGTGTATGCTTTGCAAGGAACATTGTGTCAAAGAATGTAACTTCTACTGGACACACTTATTTAGTTGAATCAGAAAGCAAATGAGTTTAAACTTCCTCCTTCCCCATCTTTTATTCAATCCAAACAACAGAAAGATATGTATATATTTCACACCCTCCACCATTGTCATTTCCTCTTTCTGCCGTACCTCTTGCTGAATCTTTTTGGTTGTTGAGTTAGTATCATGAATAAGTTTTCATCCTCTTCCTTTCTTTTTTCTCTCTCTTACCATTCATGTAAATAACAGTTGTACCTTCTTATTTAGAAATGTCCAGTAATCAAGTCAAAGAAGTCAATCGACTTTAGATAACTGGGTTATAGATATTAAATATACTGATTTTCATGGGCTTATCTCCAAAGATTTCTAATGAGTCATCTCACAAACTGCAATATTTCGGATTTTGATTATAAATCTAAGCTAGCGCTCCAGGATGTAAATGTTTTAGGTTTCATAGTACAGATTATAATTTATAAGACCTATATACACAAAAACTACTGTAGCATAGAACGCCCTTCTTGCCAAACTTAACGTTTCTGTGGTTGACTTTTAGCTGTTGTACATGCTATTAGAGATGGCCACTTTCCCTTGTTTAGGACTCAAATTAAGGAGAAGCATTTAACTTAACATGTCAATAGATTTTTAGTCTTTAATAGTTTGTTTTGCAACACAGTTTTGGTCAACAAATGGAGGTCTGGCTGCATCTCTTTAGTAGTATTTATCGTCATGTCACATATGGCTAACTGTCTTGGTTTCAATTTAAGGGGTGTTTGACTTATTTTCAGTTCTTTTTCTTTATTTAGGCAGAACTTTCTGAGCAATGAGCAGAATTGCAATTTACTGGATTGTAATTTATAACATTCAAACTTCATGTATTATACTTCTCCCGGCTTTATCTAATACTTTTATTCGTCCAAAAAGTTGTACTTTCTCCCTGCTTTGTGTATTTTTGGCTTAATTAATACTTATGTCAAAAGTTAAATTTACAGCATATAGCTGAAAGCCTGAAAATTCGTGTTTTTTTGTGAATCCCCGTTTCCCACCTCAACCTTGTTTTTGGACCTAATCGTGTATGATGCTGTTTCTGTAGGTTTCTCCCAAAGCATGCGGTCATACACGTGGCAGGAAGGTCGTCTCTAGAGAGGAAGCAATAATGAGAATAAAAGCAGCTGTTGATGCTCGAAAGGAAAGTGGATCTGACATTGTGATTGTGGCACGTACTGATTCTCGTCAAGCAGTCTCTTTTGAGGAAGCACTTTGGCGGGCACGTGCTCTTGCTGATGCTGGAGCTGATGTTCTGTTCATTGATGCTCTTGCTTCTGTAGAAGAGATGAAAGCTTTCTGTGATGTCTATCCGCTGGTTCCGAAGATGGTATGCCTTCTTTCCCAGATTTTGCCTTGGGTAGCATGTTTATATTGTTCTAATATAGAAAGTTCCACTGTAAGATATCTATTCTACTTGGTGGTGTCCGTATGCCCGTCTCAGAATGAAGTAGTTGTGATCAATCTTTCTCATGGTCAGGGCTTTGAGTCTTGTTATACTGGAGGAACTTCCAATCCATTTGGTTCAAACATTTCTGATAAGGCTTATACAATTGCATCCAGGCAAATATGCTTGAAGGTGGTGGTAAAACGCCAATACTCACTCCTATTGAACTTGAGGAACTTGGATACAAAATTGTGGCATATCCACTTTCCTTGATGGGGGTATCAATATGTGCAATGCAGGTTAGATTTTGTACTTCATATTATCTTTTCTTACAGCATTTTTGCTTATTCATTCAGGTTTTACAGTTAGGTGCATCCTGGAGCATACACATAAAAACAATACACGGGCTATAGATCAAACCAACCCAGAATTTCCTTTTCCACCCTCAAAGCAAGTATGATGGTGGCCCCATGAGAATAACTTCTGAGGACGGAAATCACTTACCAAACTGCCCCTTCTGCTTCCCTACTTGAGGAATATATTTTCTTCTTTCTTTTTCTCTTTTTTTTTTTTTAATTTAGATTTAGTCATCTCAAGTTTCTTATACTGTGAGAAGTTGCACTTTTTGGACAATGTGGAGCAAGCATTGAGAACAAGGTACATAAGCAGCAGAGAACTATGCAGTGAGAGGCAATAAAGCTATAGTAAATGTTTATGTAGTTTGTGGTTTAGAGTGTTGAGCAAACAATCAAAATACCCTTCCCCGATTTCTCTACCTCGGAAGAAGTATTTAGGCAACATGCGAAGAAATGGCTTTCTCTAGAGATCTCTTTATATAGACAACAAGATGCATTTAGCTTGCTGTTCTTCCATTAAATCTAGCATATCCTTCTGAGGCTTGGAAGGGCTTCACTGAGTAAGTCATCATGCGTAAGAAGTCAGTCATTGGTTTTCTTTATATTGTTTCTAATTCTTTGTTTTTTCATCCTGCAATTTCTCCTGGATGTCGATAAAACAAAACTTGAAACAAAAATAGCTGCATTTCTCCCCGCACAATTAGCTTTTAAGTGGAAAAAATTAATCCTTTGCCAACGACTGGCTTGAGTTATAGACCCCATGACAGCTGACCTAGAAAAATTTCTGCTGCACGACAGTTTAAAAAAAGGAGTTGCTCTGTTAACTAGTTACTGACATCTTCAGGATGCACTGTCTGCCATTAAAGGAGGCCGGATACCTTCACCTGGAAGCATGCCTTCATTTGAAGAGCTAAAAGAAATCCTAGGTTTCAATACCTACTATGAAGAAGAGAAGCGTTATGCAACAACAAGCAGCCAACTTCCTTCTCCGAAAGGTGAGCAAAGTTGTCAAATAGGCTAAGTATTTGAAAAGTCAATTTGGATTCAGGTCTTGTGCAGATCCTCTTAGTACTGATCCGAAGACATTTATTTACCTCGTTTCCACATTTAAATATCAGGCGATTTCTCATCAAGAAGCAACGAGTATGGTGTTCAACCTGGCATCCCAGCTGATACAGAACAGAGGGGTCAAATACCACAGAACCCTGTTGAGGTACTGATTCCTGAGGTATATGACAAATTTTCTGGAGAGGGTGCAAAAGGAAATTTCTCAGGGATCTGGTCTCGGAAATTAAGAGTGAAAATTACTGGAAGAGATGGATCCGAAAAGCTAGATATCAGAATTCCTGTAAGTTATTCTCTTATGCTAATTGTTTTTGAGAATGAGAATGAGAATGATAAGGGGAGCCTTGGCGTGACTGGTAAAGTTGCTCCATGTGACCATGAGGTCACCGTCGAGCTGTGAAAACAGCCTCTTGCAGAAATACAGGGTAAGGCTGCGTACAACAGACCTTTGTGGTCCGGCCCTTCCCCGGACCCCGAGCATAGCGGGAGCTTAGTAAACCGGGCTGCCCTTTTAATGAGAATGATATGCTTTTTTGTTTTATTTTAAGCTATTAAGTATATGAAATTAGTTAACTCAAAAGCTATTAATGTTTAAGAGAATATTTACGGTTTATGATGCATGCCTAAAGGGCACACACTAGCATTAGCATAATTGATATTGTCGTACCAAAAAAGAAAAAGAATAAGACAATTTGACAATGACTTTTCAAGAGAGATCAGTTAGGTAAATCACTTTGAAGATTTGTTGATTTAAACCTTGTAATGCTAACATGTCTATTCTGCCCACTGAAATTGTTCTGCTGCATGGATTCAAGCATTATACTCGAGCTTTGTGGACCAGCTAAACCGTAAGATCTGTTTTTTTTTTTTTTTTTTCCGAAGTAGTTTGAAACACCAAACTGGGTGGCAGTGAACTCATTTAGGGGGGGGGGGGGGTTTTATCCCCAGAGTATCAGCAAATGTAATAATAAAATGGGTTATTAGTTTGGCTATAGAATCGTGACGTGCTTTATGCCTGTAACAGGTTAGAGTGGTTCTCTTTGGTAGGCCAATAAATAAAGAAAATGCTTTGAGTATAAGGGATGCCATTTTATCTACATTATAAGCTATGTGAAAAGACTCCTTGCCTTTGATATCAAATATGGTGTGAAAAGAATTTTTTGCAAGTAAATATGTCCAAGAAGTTTTGGATTCCAGGTTTTACTGCAAGTATGAAGATTTTAATTTTTAAGAGACAATAATACCTTCGTTTTAAATAACTGATATTGGCGACAAACCGTGCTCCAACCATTTTGTTGGATCCATACTTGTTTTATCATTATCATCTTTATTATTATTATTATTATTATTATTATTTTTGGGGTGGGGGGGTGGCAAGCCGGGTGTTATAATCACTTGCACAAAAGCAGTTATGAGCTCCTAAGGAGTGCATCAGAGCCATTTCTTAACTAAAGAAGATCGAACTCATGTGTTTTAACTTAGGAACCTTTTCTTTGTTTCACTAATATTGTCATTCTTGTGGGAGGTATCTACAAGAGAACATATGAGGTACCTTTTTTATTTAGCTTTATGTTTGTGTTCTCCTCAGCATTATGTGGTTTCTTAAGGTTCATCTATATACATGATCAATTATGGAGCATGGAAGCGTATAGTCATTATTTGTTGCATCAAGATCAATGGTTTTCTAAAATTTTGACCACTTATCTCATTTCCTCAGGCTGGATTTTTGGAAGGAATCACAAACATAGTTCCAGGTATGTTTAATCGGTTGGCAATGCTTTTTGAAAGCCAATCATTTATGAAAGTATTGCTGAAAAGTTTAGCATGTATTTTTTCTACACAGCATTGGTAGGTGTAAACATCAAGGCTCTGTTGGATGATGCAACTTTAGAAGAGGGAGGGAAACAGTTGTTGGATTTTCAGGATACAATGGGGGACAGAATTCAAGTTTTTTTGGAGTAATGGATCTTTTGTGTTTCAACGAAATGCATTTTGATAAATAAATCTTGGACAATCAAAAATAATTTGGTGATTTTAATGTATATCCCTAGTTTAGCTTGTACGAGCTCCCATATATTTGTTTCACCTAAAAGAAGTGAAAGGAGGAAAGGTGGTGTCTTATCAGTGACGAAGCTGAATCCTATATCTCAAGTGTCTTGATTTGTTGACTCAATGTGATCAAAGACTGATGTATGGTGACAAACAAATACGTTGGGTGTAGATACATAACAATTGTACGACTATTTTACTCACCTTGTCATATCCCACGATTTGAAGAGAAATGAACGAATTTTTCTTCGTTATTCCGTTTAAATTCAAAGTTATTCGACTTGGGTATAGATAGTGAAGGCAAGGAAAGTAGAAAAGACAAATATAAAAATAGAACTTTCTGTTTAGATATGTATACTCTCCCATTTCCTTTATAATCTAAACAAACCAATTAAAATAGCTTCTGGGGAGAGTTACATATCCCTTTTTTTTTTTTTTGGGTAGAAATACGAACTTATCATTCATTAACTAATTCTATTACATAAAGCAAGAGTCCCATTGGGCTCATTCGTAGGTACTGTCACCGTACTGTTTATATTAGGATTGCAAGTTACAAAAAGGTTCCTAAGTTCAACTAACTTAGCAGATACAGCAGTAGATACAAGCCTAGATTTAATACAGTCAATCTTATCATCATGGACTGTTTTCAAAAGTACATTCGGGGTTTGTTCCAAAAGAGAAAGAGGGCTATTGTTTGCTTGTTGGATCCTTGGGTAGCCAAAAAGTGAGCAACTTTGTTTCCCTCCCTGAAGTTATGCCGGATCGGCGGATTCTCCAGTTTCTTCAGTAATGACCTGCACTCAGTAACCAAGTTAGAATATATTGAAAAACTATAAGTAGGTGAAGTATATCTGTAGCATCAATTTCAATCTCTAAATTAAACATATTTTTTTCATAGGCTAGTTGCAGCCCTGTCTTGAGCGCTAAGAGCTCCATATAAGCAGGTGTATAGGCAATAGCTGAGTTGTAGTAACCTAAAATCCAATTCCCATAGCTATTCCTAAAGATTCCGCCAATGCCTCCTTTCTTATATTTACCTTTGAAGGCACCATTGATGTTGAGTTTTAAGGAGAAATTTGTTGGCGGGAGCCATTTTATAGAGATGGTAGTAGTTGGAGGGGTGAAGTTAGGGGAGTTAGTGCAATACTTAAATTCTTTGCAGCGCATGATAACCATGTAAGCGGTAGCTGGCTGCATTTGTTATTAAAAGAGTTGTTATTTCTATTGAGCCATAGATTCCAAATAGCAAATGAAAAGAAATCGTCCCATGAGATACCTCGATGATCCAATGCAATGTTAGAGTCTTTTAATTTAGTGAACCAATGCTCAGAGTTTTTGGTGAAGGGGGAGGAAGTTGAGGTGCGCATCGCTCCAAATTTTGATGGCTATGGGGCATTCGAAGAAAACATGAGTAATTGTCTCCTCAGCCCCTTTACATACAGAGCAGGTAATGTCAATGTTAAGGCCACTTTGATGCAGATAATTTTTGGTGGGGAGCCGGTATGTGAACATTGCCAAATGAGGTATTTTATCTTATGGAGCGTGTTTTGCTTCCAGATCCAATGAAACTTATAGGAATTGGTAGGTGACGTGGAGATTAGTTTATAAGTAGAGTTTGTGGAAAAGATACCGTTTGATGTATAGGCTCAAGTGGGAATATCTCTAGCGTTATTGATGGTGTCAAGATTAATGGAGAGGATTTTGTTCCTTATTTCTGTGGGCAGAATAAGGATAGTTTTGAGAGGTCCCAATTGTCCGCCGTCCAAAGATCCTTGACTTTGAAGGCGTGATCATTTTGGTTCATTGGCCCCTGAGTGATGGTATTTAAGGGTGGGAGACCCGGAAATCATGCGGAGGACCAACAATTAATGTTTCCTGGACCAATTATCCATTGAAGACCTTGGTTACAGATTTTCCAACCTGTTAGAATGTTATTCCAAATGAAAGAGCGGGAGGTGGGGTTTCTCTTATGGCTGTATTTATTAATAAGCGTTTTGGCTCATATAGAACTAGAATTATTGAAGAGTCTCCAAGAGAGACTGGCTAGAGAGACAAGGTTTTTTCAGCAGCTTTTCTGAGTCCCCGAATACTTTGGCTAAGTGACAGTGGACCACTTGATATATCCCTCTTTGTACAAAAGATGCAATAATTAGCATATTTTACCTTCAAAAGAGCCTTTCTCTCAACTTTAAAAGTCCAAACTCTAGCTGATAACGTTCCATAAAAGATTCATGATTTATTCAATGTTTAAATTTCACATTTCCATCAGACCACCTAGTATACTATGATGGTTTTATAAGAAATTAGATATCAATTCACAGGAGGAGTTAATTCAACATAAATTGCTCGTGGACAACCAAAGTTGTATAAGGATACATGTAGTAGCAGTGTGAGATTTAAATTATTTAAAGACAGAACTATTATTTTAAATTTTTTATGTATAACAATGATATATCCCTCTATTATTAATCAATGCTTAACAATTTCTCGTTATAATACCCACATAATGAGTATGTGAAACAGCCTATGCCCGTATCATCATAATGTTATTCTACATTAATTTTGGGAATAAACCAATATGTCAATTGCAGCACAACTAATGTCAAGATTAATATAAAATGATTAATTAGCAACAACTAAATTCCAGGATTTAACATTGGGTAACTTCCAATAAATATTCCTATAATATGATTCAAGCAACCCGGTATTTTGATCATTTTCTCCGAAATATGCACTTTTTTACTCAACAATTTTAGTGATATGTTATTTTTAAAGGTATATCAAAAATATGCAAAACATATTGACTCGTGATTTTGGCACGATATGACAATATACCTACATAATTAGCAGAAAATAATCCTAGTTATGGATATTGGCACAAGTAGCCAATAAAGTATATCCTAACAATAATGTATATATCAAAACGTATTCATAACTTTATTTTTCTTTTTTTTGTATGTACCAAAATGTATTAAAACTTCTTTTTTGTATATCTAAAATATAAAATTATAAATATAATTATTTAAAATTTATTATTGTCTCTATATAAATGTATCTCACAATAAAAATAATTATATTGTTTGTATATTACAGTGTTTAATGCATCAAATAACGTGAATTCCAAAATATATGTCACAAGTTTATTTTCCTTCCTATGTATATCAAAAATTTGTTTTTCCTTTCTTTGTATATTAAAATATATATATCAAAAGTTTATTTTCCTTCGTTGTATATCTTAATGTATAACACATAATTTCTTGTGGATATACATAAATATAGATGTTAGATGGGAAGCAGAACTATTTTTTTAATTTTTTTTTTAAAAAAAAAGGAAGAAAAGAGGGGAGAAAAAACAGGTTTAAAGTTTAGTGTGCTAAAGGAATTGTGAACTAGTAATAAATAGAAATATGAGTTAATTTGAATACTGATGTTGGGGATAATATGATCAATTTATGGTACTTTTCCTTATATCTCGTCTTAAGGTATGGGATTTTGCTTTTCCCTTCGGGTTCGAATTTCACGTGACAATGCCATTGCTAACTGCCATTGCCGTTATCATCGTAGCCAGTTCTAGGGCTTTCTCTTATTTGTTGAGATTGGAATATGACGGGGAGAGAGGAGGAGATTGTCATGGCTCGCCACATCATCATACTATTTAGGTTTCACTTGTTATATATTTTTGCTATATGAAAAGCTTATATAGGAAAGAGGCTAGAACTTATAGGAAAGATCTAAAGAAATATATAGGTTTCCATAGGAAGACCATAGAGCCCTATGGATTTGCTAGGAAAGTTCATTCTAGTTATGTTGAGAATTCTAGAGAGGGTCTTACTTGTAAATAATAAGGGACCTGTATAACAATTAATATTTACACACTAGCCCCTACGAGACTAATATATAAATGGGCCATTCATTTGTAAATTCACCAAGCAAAACAATCAAATTCTCTCTAATACAAATGCTTCCTTTGGCAATGCTCTTGTGTTCTAACATTCTCTTAGCGATCTTTAGTGTAGTAAGGCTGACTTGGCATATCAAGAACGTGAGCAAGTTGTGCAAAATTGTGAGTAAGTTGTCAAGTGCCACACGTGCGCTTAGTTGAAGACTAAGGACGTGACAATGTGGTATCAAAGCAAAATTTATGACTGACCAAAGGAATGTTAGAAAGAATACAAGAGAATGCTAGAAGCAAGCTTTGTAGGGAACCACAGTCGAAATTACCAAGGGTGTGCTTCTTGCAAAAGGTACCAATGTGAAGGTCCCTAAGCGATGCAACGACTCAATTTACTTGACCGAGGTTGCCTATGGCGGCGTCGAAAGTGTGCTGACATGGAGAAGGGGCTATGTAAGATTGAAACGTGGGAGCAGTTCAAGAAGGATTTGAAGAAGCAATTCTACCCGATGAATGTGGTGTACGAGCCTAGGCGGAAGCTATGGGAGCTCCGATAGATTGCCACAATTCGAGAGTATGTGCGCGAGTTCACTTCCTTAATGCTGCAAATCCCGTCGTTGTCCAAGGAAGATTCCCTTTTCTACTTCATGGATGGGTTGCAAAATTGGGTAAAGCCGGAGTTAAGACATCAAGTAGCTAACGTGGACGAGGCCATAGCGGTAGCCGAGTCGCTCGTTGACTTCAATATAGAGCCTACCAAGTCCAAAAAAAGGCAACGCCGAGAGGGATGGGGGAGATCATGACAAGGACAACGAGAAATACATAGCCGAGGTATACAAGGGCAATGGCAAGGGGCCATCCCATAACGGACAAGGGTCCAAGAGAAACGGCAAGGGGCCGAAAAAGGTAGCAAGTATGTGCCTAAGGGAGGATGCTACTTTTTTAAAAAAGAATTGGGGAAGCTTGCTGCAATGATCGGGAACTTTGCTTAGGCACATAAGGGTGACACAGGAGAAATCGTCTACATTGGGGGTATACGTTTGGAATCTAAGCCGAAAGTAGGGGATTCCAAAGCCTATCTTGGCGCCATGCAAATGGAGCATGGTGGTAGCAAGAAAAGTTGGGCGGACATAGTTGAAAAGGATGGCGAGTTACAAAGTTATGGCACTCTATCGGACTTAGACAATGCACCAAATAGAGGGGTCAAGTTTTCTAGCAAGGCTGGGACTATGAAGGGCAGCCAAATAAGGAGTGGAATGTCACGCCCCAACCCTGGGAACGCGACCGGCGCTTAACCGAGTGAACCCGATCGAGCAAGCTTGTTAGACAATTTCTACCCAACCCGCTTAGGACCAAGAGAAGGTGTGTTTTCATTAGTTTAAATAGTAGAAGGATCATATATTTACAACATTACTAATTCATTTCATTTTACTACATCATTGTTAAGTTTCCAAAATACATACACTTTACAATCTAGTGGGACAAGAGTCCAAAACACATCGTAATCCACCTGACCTTTCTAGCACCCATACACAACCCACATAAATTTCTACGGAGCCTCTAAAGATACAAAAAACAGTTATGATAATGCTGGCAACAAGGCTCCGGCTATACCTCAAAATGTAGCAAACATATAAATAGAAGTTGCACTACATGACCCCGGGATGAAATGGGGCTCACCAAGTTTGCTGGGAAGATGATGATGATGTACCACTAGCTGCGATCAACACTGTCTGCTATGGAAACACCTACATCCATTTAAAGATGTAGCACCCCCGGCAAAAAGGACGTTAGCATTGTCGAATAGTACTAGTATGTAAAGCTAAAACACTATCTTAATAGAATGAACAATGAAACAAAGGGGAACAGTCATGATGTACAATAAGAGCTTCAAACAATACTAAAACATCAAGTAAGGATCACATAAGTTCTCAAGTCAATTTCCGTCTTATTAGATTCATAATCTTTTAGTGCCATGTGCCACGATCCACAATACCACCGTGTTCTTACACGGAGTCCGATCTCGTCCCGATCGGCTAGGTCATCTCATTTGAGACATCAACCATATCCATAATTTCAATCGTCATTTCCAGGACAATTACCACTATGTGTGCGGCATATCGTCCGATCACGACCCGATCGGCTAGGCCATCTCATTTGAGACATCATCCTTTCAATCAATCATCTCACTTCACATTTCTTTCCCATCTTTCAATGCGTTGGCACGAGTGGCCTCATTTATTAAGTCGTTATTGGCACTTGGACATATTTCACAATTCAAGTTTCCCTTTTTACACATTCAACATTATTATCATATCAATAGCAACAAGGTTTTTCATTCAAGACTTGCTTACACATGAGAGCAATTTAGATTCTAGAGCACATAGAGGCTTTTCACACAATTTGACATAATAATCTTTATTCGGATTTGGCTTGAAGTCTAAGCATTTGTAGCACATATTCCTTATCTTTAACACATTCCCAACTGATAAGATAACATGATGAAAGCACATGAACACATATTGCACATTTGGAATAGCAAGTTCTATACAATCAATTTGGGACTTACACCGATTTCATGAACACCAAGGGGTTCAATTCTAAGAAG